ACTCCAGAACTTAAAACCAGGAGAGATCAGGCCCGAGGTGGCCCTTTGCATTTCCTCATCACACTCAGAGGACATCTCACCACATCTCTTGCTCATGTATCACCAGCTGTTCTTCCATCCACTTTGTTTCACTGCAGGAAGAATTATCCACCCCCAAATGGATGTCTTTGCAGCACCCTGACCAACTTATCTATAATCCCTGATTACAGCTGATGGCAGCTCTGACCATAGCCAAACCCCTGGACTGAAATTGGACGAGCCCCTTGAACAATTGTAGCAGTACTGTTGGACTTCCGTAGTCTCCCTTCAGCCAACAAGGTCTTTGGGTTTTACACATAGCTGTAGGCTTGAAGCACATGCAATAGGTTTACTGATGCTGACTTACATGGGCACAGATCGAGGATGGGGACCATGGAGCACGTAGGGAAATCATTGCATAAAGCAATTACATAATGTCTAGGATAAGCATTTGACGAGCTGCAGCTTTTACACATCCACCTAGTTTCTCAGGGAAAGACAGAATTGGAACTGATGTATGAATAAGGCAAGTTGTAGCTTTAAGGAGATGCAACTACATGGAATACATTTTCCCATCCTTCTTACCAGTTCTCATTTCCACATCAGGGAAGGGAAGATTCTGCCCTAAGTAATCATGTTCACTGTACTTTGAATATTTTTACTGTAACTGACTATTTGAAACAGTGGTTACCAATTTGTTCTTTATGCATTGTGGATTTTTAGTTTTAACACAGTGTTGCATTCTTTTACTAAACATGTGGGTTGTAGAATTTAAAAAAAAAAATACCAGTCTCTACAAAGATGACTGACAAGTGTTAACAAAAATGAACAAAAGTTGTCTTCCTTTTCCCTGAAAGGGAATTGTTTTCAACATACTCCATTTTAGCCCTTATGTGCTTCAAATAAAGATCTGTCAAAGTGTACTTACAATTCAAGTTACGAGTGACATATGTTCTGCTATTACTGTTTCCATATTTGATATTAATTCAAGACATTTTCTGAATGATCAGATTTTAGTCCTTATTCTAAATTGCAACACATGCAGATGTCAGCCAGTATTGCGCAGATATGTTAATAGAAATATTAGGGGGAACTGGACTCCTGACTCCATGTGGTTATGTGTAAATACATGATTGTAGATCACTCTGATCAGGTTTTCTTATGAAATTCTGTTTTTAGAAGAGTTAAGGAGTAGGTACCTAACAAATCAGGAAGCATCTAGGCCAAATGCACCAACTGCTGGTACTTTCAAAAATGTAAAAAAAAAGTTGGGTGTTACAGTAAACGTGGTTTTTAAATTGAAAAGTCATAAAACTGTAGACTTTCAGCCACTTGGTTAAAAGTTTTGTTTTTGGACTCCGTATCTACTCAGGACACAACATTATCATTCCATTGAACTTCATGGTTTGGATCCATGAAGAAATTTTTCTACACCTACAGTTTGAGTTAGAAAGTTGTAGGTTCAAGTCTCACTCCAGGCACAGGTGAATAATTACGGTTGATGCTACACAGTGTATTAATGCTGAAAATGAGAAACCAAGGCAGGGTTCCAAATAACTTCAGATGGATGGGAAAAAAATTGCAAGTGAATTACTGAAAAAGCTCGAGTGTGTTCTGGTGTTGTGACCAGTTATTCTCCAAATTAACACCACAACTAATTCCATGTCTTTAAAAAAAAGTTTGAGGGACACGGAGGTTGTGCACAAATTGGTTAAGGATGTTTAATTCGTATATACCAAGCTTACGAAATGTACTTTAACTTCAGGTTTAAATATTTTAAAAATTCAGTTAATTTCAATTCCCACTAACAAGTGTAATCAAAAACAAGGCTGTTATCCTTTTCAGGAATAGGCCTAACTATGAATATGATCCTTTTCAGGATTGAGCTTTAGGAAAACCCAAATTATAAAAAGTGACCTAAAAACCATGCAAGTAGCTGTCAAAACCAGTAGTTCCCGATTCTCAAACTCTTAGCCTATAACTGGAACATTCATAAACATTAACTGGGGTCCAGGATTGTCTCCCTGCACCAATAGCAGCTCTCGCAGAGCTAAGAAATTCATCCATTTTGTGAAGACTCTCGACTTAACAAGCAAAAGTGCAGGTTAGCTTTTAAAGAAAAAAAATACACATGGCTTGTTCATTTCATAATTTCACTGGCTATCCATGTCACTGTTGACAACAATTGACTCATTGGGTTAGAAATTTTCCAGATCCTTGCTGCAGCACCTTGAGATTTATAGCCAAAGTAATTGACCAACATTTTTTTTGGAATAGGGATATATTTGGAATATAGATGTTGACAAGAGGAATGGAGTGGGGCACAGTGGGCTTGAAAATTTAAGAGTCTGCTAAATGACCATGAATTCATCATCAATTGTCAGAAAAACTCTGGTTTTCTAAAGAAACTGCCATCCTTACATGGCCTGGTCTACATGATTGCAGACCCTTAGCAATGTCATTGATTCAACTGCTCTCTACGCAATTAGGGATTGGCAATGAATGAAAGCCTAGCCACTGACATCCTCATCCTGTGATGAATGAATAAAAATATACTACAGGAGATGGAAAATTTGAGAAGCAGACTTGTGTGATGGAACATGACTGTTGCTAGAACAAGAAAATATTACAGCAGCTGATTCTTTCTGAATCTAAAACTGAAGTTCAAAAACCCATCAATTGTCATTTTGCTAAATTTGGCTCCCAAGTCAACTGTCAATTTAGGGGACCATAAAAATTGAAGTACAGCTTTTAAAAAAAAAAAATTCCCTGACAAATACTTCAGTGGACCAGAGGGCCTAGCAACACAAAAGGCACACTTATTTAAAATGTGTGATTCCACCAAGTCAATTACAAAAGTACTTGAAGCAGTGGAATTCAAGTGGGAATAAATCTGTTCAGTGAAAAGTCTATGGATCAGTAAAAAGACAGAAGAAATTTTGTCTAGAAAACAAACAGATTCGTCATTACTCTTGAACATGTTAAGTGGCTAGGTTAAAAACAGAAAACTGGCTGAAGCTTGGTAAACAGATTTACACTTTTCCTGACTGTTGGATGAGAGTCTTACCTCTAATTATTTTTGATGTGATTGTAGTGCATCCAGTTTGTGTGTAGAAAGTGGTTTGTTTGGGTTCTTGTGACACCGTGGTAGTGTCCCTGCCTCTCAGCATGGAGACCCAGGTTCAAGACCCACCTACTCCAGAGGTGTGTAACATCTTTGAACAGGTTCATGAACTATATGGAATGATGTTTGTGGAGCAAGAGTGAGGTTAATGAAAATCCCTACTGAATAGATTTATCAAATAGAGACTGTAATTTGTGCTAATAAGCTGCATGGTTTCAAACAATTTATTGAGTTTAATCCACTGTTTAGGATCCAGGACCATGGATTACCTGCCTCTGCCAAGAGCTCTCTTGACATGTGGAGCAGGTTTAGGGGGAAGGAAAAAAAGAAAAATCACAATGCAGATTGAGGATGCAGTGGTACTGTCCCTAGCTGTGGGACAGGAGGCACAAGTTCAAGTCCCACCTGTTCTAGAGGTGGGTAACAATATCTCCAAACATGTCAATTATGAAAAATCTGCATTGTAGGTATTTTCTATGCAAATTCTTTTCATGTTGTGAGATACCAAATGAATAAGCCATAGAGCCAGGCCCTTTGGCCCACCATGATCAATGCTGACTAACAAACACGACAATACACTAATCCTATTTACCTGCACTTGGTCCATAGCCTACTATGACCTGGCATTTGATTTAAGTTAATATTTTCAAAAAAAATGTTGCAAGTGGATTAGAGGTTTTGTAATGTTTATTTTTGGCTGTATGTTTATAGATAGCCATGGATTCCAGTTTCAGACAGGGGTTTGGGTACATGAAAGACAACATTTCAATGGAGCTGAAGGGAAAAACTTGAATTATACATTACGGTTAAAATTTGCATTTTGCACCATCCTCTTGAAAATTCAGTTAAAAATAGAAAATTTAAAAGGCAACATTAACCACTAATAGTGCCAGACTCTGGGGCAAAAGGGGATACCAAATGAAGTTTGCTGTGGTTTAATTTGAAGAACATCAAAAAAAGTTGACATTGGCCCCAAATTAAGACTTTAGGATATATCTTAAGTTACAGGTAAAAAAAGTAGTGAACATGGACCAAGCAATGTGTAAAAGTTAAAATTTATTTCACAAATAAAATATTTGCTGTACCAAGTGTATCACTGAACACAAAGTACACTTTTCCAGAGTCACAAATGGCCTGTAAATGCTGTTTAAACACTAGGACAAAGAATATCCCGTCATTATTATAAGGTGTGTATGTATAGACCGTCAGATGAGGTAACTTAAGAGGGAGATCAGTCGTATACAACAGTGCAAAAAAAAAAAGGGTGTCTGTTTATCCATACAACATAATACTAAACTTTAAGTTACTACTCAAGCTTAAATCAGTAGTGTGTGTCATGATAGGAGGGAAAGCAGGAAAAGAAGGAAAAGAAAAACAAGAACGAATCCCAACTGTAAAGCTTGTGGCTGAAGCTATGGCATGTGCACACGTGGAAGGAAGGAAAGACACGAGTTTTGAACTCCTGAAGAAGTTTGTTACAGCAAAACATTTCACATTGTGCACCTTCTAGTCATTAGCTCTGAAGGAAACCATAAGCAGCAAGAGACTTGGGGATTGATGATATTTTTCCATTCATTCCCTTTCCATTCCTGTTTCCTAATGTCCACTTTGGAAAATATGAAAAAATTAAAGATTTAAATAGGATTTTAATAAGCAATACATTGGTGTGTACAATATAACAAAAAGTTGGCTTCCAGCACCTGACAAACCATATTTAAACAAAAATACATTTATAGGTGGTGTAAGTGAACAATTAATTTTCAGTGCATACCAAGGATGCTATATTTTAAACATGTATAATGCCAGCTTCAGTTAATAGTGCTACTACAATAAATATGAAGTAGAAAGAGACCAGAACACCACCATATGCTTTTCCAAGTTTAAACCGTTGAACTGGGATCGATATAAACGACATGACAAGACTCAAGCCTAATGATCCGACTAGAACCCAATCCAGGAGGCCATCACACTTGATCTAAGAGAAAGTTAGTAAATCTGAATTAATGAATAACTAAAAGTACAGTTAAAGTGAAGCCACAGTATTGGTTTGAAAGAAATTTGATTATCATATAACAAATTTTAAAACTACCTAGCTTTAGATGTACCAAATCACATGTAATGAGATCAATTATAGCAATTAAGAACAGCCAGATGAAACTTTGAACAGGAATGCAAGCTTAGAGTTCGGAGTGGAATGAATGATAAATGGATCGAAAGGTCATGTTTTGCAAGAGAGCTCCACCAGATGTTTAAGCTGCACGAGTCATAACACTTGCTTCTGAAATGCCGTATGAAAGTAATTTCTTCCAGCAGTGAGCTGTTGTGCACAAGGGCAATTTAAACCACAAAACAATATTAGTTTGACTAGCTCAGACTTGAATATGGTTTTTGGTATCTGTTGAACTGCTTAAAAAAAAGCAGACTATCAGGTGGCTCTACAAATTTATATATAAACTAGTTTCTGATGTATAATGATCAGCATGTGACCCAAAATGCATGTTGTGCAATTTCAATTGTGAAAAATGAATCAGATGGTGTGCATTTATATATTTTGAAACAATTAATACATACCAATTCCACCAATTCAACATAAATGAGACATGAGTAAGCAATATACACCCAGGAAGGCCATGGGCTGTTAAATATATTGCATCACTTTTCCTGGACCACTGGTCTTCGGTCACAACCCTCCATGCCTCTGGTTTCTCTCTTCCTCCCTCCTTAGCACCCCTCCCATAACCATTTTGATCTTTTGTCCATGAAATCAGGGTGCTTGTGGAATGAGAAACTACTGCTACATTTTCAGGAGACAGAGTTGGTAATTTACCATTGGCCTCTGCTGTCAATCATGAGGAAAAATTGCAAGACCAGCCTTTCAGGTATAGTTAACACCAAGGTCTACAAACTGCTTGTCCAAAGTCCAGCCTTAATATCTAAACTAGAAGAAAAGTTTTGTCTCCACCATAAACTACATTTTCTGGTCATCACCAACTTCACCCCATAATTATCTTAAATCTCCTACATGTGTTCTACCAAACAAAAGCTATAACTTAATGACCTTAGTAAGGAGAAACCCTTGTTTTTAAAATGATCAGTGATGTACTGGCATGTCTCAAGAAAAGGTATTACAGTGAACAATTGTTCAATTGTTCTGAAATCCTTTTGTTACTTCTAGATTTGATGAACTGCTGTCCATCCATCCAATCTTTCACTTCCATTCAAAACAAAAAAAAAAGTCTCTTCCACACCAAATCTGTTTCACTTGTCACCACTGTTCAAATGGACCTACAGAGTGCCAAATTCCCAGTTAAATGTTCATCCTCAGTCCGGAATCACTCCATTGCTTCAGCATTGCAAAGTTTGGGAAGTCTCACGCAGCTCATTCCTCCCACTGGATCCTCTTTTGGGAGAGGACTTCCAAAGAAACTATGCATATTGAAAGATTAGAGGCAAATTTTCACTTCAACATTTGTCTTTACAAATTGGATTTTATAAAAACACTACACAGTTTGCCATATGGCACATCACTTCAGACTACATGCTTTGTTTTTTTTTAAGAAAGGTAGGCAATATTGAGCTTGATTTATAAACTACTTTCTTTATTTTTCAGAGTGTAAGTGAAAGACAGAATTGGCACATACCTCAAGGACGTAATTATTGTAGGGCATTTGAATTAAGGAACTTAGACCAATGCCAAACAGCATATCTATAATAAAGTTAAGAAAGCAGACAATTTGCAGTTGCTGTTAGAATTTGTCTTTGAATACAGGCAGGAACTTTAAGAACAAAATGCAAAGGATACTAAATATTATTCCACCAAAACACGCAGCAATAGCCATACGTTGGTACCCCTGTCGGGCTAGTGTGATGTCAGAGAATAAATCTGAAAGTTCAGAAGTTAAAAAAAAACATCAGGTTTTTCTTTTAGCAAAACCAAGTCAAATACAGCATGATTATATAGAAATCCATAGGCTATAAGTTCAACAGTTAAGCATGGTGCACCCAAATAGCTACTCCATCACAAGAACAGATATTTTTGTCTACCTGAAACAAATCCGAAATGATTTTGTATGCCTAATTTTATATAGCTAAAGAAATTAAAGTCATTATCTATGAAAAAGTTTCCATTCAGTGTTAAAGCTTTAGTTTGCTTTAAATGGCTTAGTCTGTATTTCTATACTACTACCAAAAAAAAAGGCAACAGGTTATGTCAGTGATCAACAAAAATCTCAGCACACTCTGAAAACAGGTAACACCCAAAAAAGGAAATGTGGTATCAAAAAGAATGCTGCCACATTTCCAATATGAACAGTCCATTGACCTCTAGGGCCATGAAATAGGGAATGCTTAAAAAAAATTGCCCATTTAAGACAGTCCTTGAATCTCTTGCTCCAGAAGAAAAAAAGTGGAGGAAGTGGAGTCTGAATAGTATTTTTTTTTAAAAAAGCTACAGGATAGATGGATTTTTCTTTAAAAGAAAGCAAACAAACAAAAAAAAAGGATGAAATGTAATTGGGCAGGCAGGAAGGTAGAATCAAGCAGCTTTGATGTTATCGCACAGTGAAAACAGCTCAAGAGATTAAGTGGCTTACTCGCAATTCATGTTTCTGTCCATCCAGCAGAAATCAAACATTTCTACACAAAGCTTTCCATGATGGCAGTGCTCAAGTGAATTCTTAACTTGGCCATGAAGCAAAAAGGTACAAAAATATAGCCTTTATAGATAAAATATTCAGAAAATGAGAAAACGACAAGGTAGCAATTAGTTTTCCAAGAGAAAAAAAAGTTGCACCGTACACCAGAAGCATATTTAATTTATTCTTCAGTTAGTTTCGTGTGTTTTTTAAAACACAGGTGTCAGACATAGTCTTGGGATTACCTCAGACCTTCTTTGAACAAAACAGCACTACCATGTTGCTGCATGGAAGCATATAGTGCAGATTATGTGCTCAAATCTAACCCAGGTGAAAAAGGTGCACTATTAAAAAGACAGGCTAAAGACTTTATCTAGTCCTCATTGGAATCACTTGAAGTGATGTTCATCCCATAAAGTAGGAAGATTTATCCTTTAACTAGCATTGAAAAACAAAAGTACTGTTAGCTCATTTTTGTGCAGATCGGGTGCTGTGCACGGACGAGAAAGGTAATTTTCTGATGGCTGTGACCAACGTTCCCTCCAAGCTACATAGCTCCAGGGTTCCAGAAGAAGTCACTGCCGTGCATGGATCTCTGCACACCAGAAAGTAAGTTAGAGGGAACACTGGCCATGACAAGGTTAGATATTAGACATCACTGATTAGTTAAAAATCAGCAAAAATTCGGAGTAGTGTGTCTGAATCCAAGACTGTTATACTGGAGTTCTATTTAACTCTGGTACAAACTTAGTTTTCCATTTGCTCTTCCCAATGAGTTGTTAGTCCAGTTACTTTTTATATTAGCACTGCATCCCTTCAGCATATTGAGAAGAACTAGTTTATGTATGTCACAACCATGAGATACTACAATACTGAAGAAAACTAATTATTCCAATATCTGTGGTAGCACCTGCTCCAACTAACCCACTGACACATTTTAGTTTGTCAAAATAAATTCATTCCTTAGAGTGCAAAAAAATCCTTACTGCAACCAGTAAGCCATTCAATGATTTTAACAGTATGATCAGCTGACTTTCAAAACAATGATCCTATTACAAGCAAAAAGGAAATACTGTACCTCCAACGCTGTTTCCCCAGGCTAGTAATGTTAGTCCCAAAACCGTATTACTCAGGTTAAAAATTATTCCAAAGGCCCGCAAGAGATTCACAACCTCCGTGGCTACAGTGTTAATCAGTATGGTACTGAAGAGAAACCCAATAAAAGAAAATACCTGAAGAGAAAGCAAATAACAGGCATTTAGACTACATATTTCAATCAAACAATCAATGAAATTTAATACCTGTGTGATTACCCAAGTTGTAACTTAAGCCTTTAGGTACATTACCGGGTTAGTTCCACAAGATTGAAAATAAAGACTGAGGAAGTCAAATTGTGAACCAAACTAGGAAAGATCCAGCTAAAACAAATAGCTTTGCTTTTATTTCCATTGAAACCAAGAAATGGAAGCAGCTTAATGCAGATGTTGTTTAATAGTATTGCAATATTCCAGTAAAAGAAAAACTGCTCAGAAGCCGACCAAGAGTAAATATGATATGATTGATACTTCCATAACTACTGAAATGATTTACAAAAGAGGTTTTATCTGGTCTACTCACACAATTATGCTAGAATGGAGGTTGCTAATTTGAACTACAGATGCAACGCTGGTGATAGAATTATGCATTGCTAGCTATTAAAATTTGTGGTCACGTACAGGTATTGCAACTTTTTAAAAACCCAAGGTTGGCAGTCAAGTCTTCATCTCCAACAAGCAAGTTCAATATTAAAACAGGTGTTTGGAAAACAGTTAAAAATGGGGTTAACAGATGCAGATTGCTGGAGAAATTCAGGTCTGCCAGCATTTGTGAAGAGAATGTTCTGAAGGGTCAGTGGACTCAACTCTGTCTACAGATGCAGAGTTTCTCCAGCAATTTCAGTTAAAATTGTTATTTGACTAATCTTAAAGTGGGGCTAATATAGTCTCAATGGAAACTGCCGAGAAAATAAAAAAAGCACAGAATAAAGCATCTGCAGACTGTGAGCCAAGAACCCACCTTTGGTCAGAGCATGAGAATGTGAATAAAAGAACCCTCTCCAGTACAATCACATCCTTAGTGTTATACAGGGAAGGAATTCTTCTGCTAAAAGTTTCTAACTAAAGATCTAGTGCAACTCCCTGGACTTCTGTTCCAAGCAATTATTTGAAGTCCAACAATCCATTTTACTAGTTTATTCTGCCATCTTCAGAGATGTGGACATACAATCTCTTGCATCATCTCGAGAATCATACCATTAAAATTTTCTCATTCATCATTTCAAGTTTGAAGTCTATACAATGTGTGGGGATTCAACTGCCACAATTTCCTCATTCCACCAGCTTAACTACACAACCTATCACTAGGTTCTTCGTTGTTTACTAACCATTCAAAAAATCATTTCATTTGCAGATTTGTGACCTCAGGTCCAACGTATTACATCCGTCAGAAACAATAGTTCTAGCTATGAACTGAGAAAATGTGCTACTTTCTCTAGCAAGGAGACAGCCAACTATTTACTGCAAATCTTTATTCTTTTAGACAATTTGTAATCATGCTGCTCCTATCCCATTAGCTTCAAGTTTGCTAACAAGATTTCTAAACTCCACAGGTGCAGATCATTCCACAAAAATAAAGTGTCCTCAAATTTAATAATTCTGACCTTTAATGGTCCAGACTCAGATAAGTGATAATTTTCTCCTACCTGGGTTCTGCCAGTTTCCTGTGGCCAAGCAGTATAACCCCAGGTAACGACAACAATTTTTCCCAGTTAAATGCTGTATTGCGAAAGACTTAGATAGTCAAATTGCAGGGACTCCCTCAGAAACCATCTGAAACAAAAATGGTTGGTGTAACTCAGGTCTGGTAGCATCTGAGAGAAGAAAGCAGAGTTAACGTGAAACTTTGTCACAGGACTTGTAACATTAACTCTGCTTTCTGCAGACAGGTGCAGTCAGACCTGCTGAGTTTCACTAACAATTTCGGTTTTTGTTTTGGATAGCCAGCATCCACAGTTCTTTGTTTTAAACCTAAGGATTTAAATCCAAGATACTGTCCTCCTATCAAGGTAAGCAATACAACTCCATGTTTAAAAGAGGTTAGAAAAACAGACATCATCTGATGGCTTACACAGTGATATTTTGGTGGTTCCTCATTCTTTGTGGTAACGAAAATCAGCATGGCTATAATTAAGGAAATCAGCAAAACAAGAGCCCAGACAGGAAATTGATCATTGATGCGCAGTAAGCCATCTGTGAACAATAAATGCTTCAGTTAAGTCACAAGACTAAACATTTTAAATGCATTAAAGACAATGGGTACTACTATGCATACACCAATTCAAAAACAGATTAAGATTAGAACAGCCTGAGAGGTCTCCAGGGATACAAAATTATATCCACACATATAACACACAACTGGGGGGTCAAGAAATTGCCAGCTTTTCTGTCAGGAGGTCCAGAAACTTGTGCATTTAGGTGATGGCTTTGATGGAATAGATCGAAAAGGCATATTACAGAAATAAAAAGGGAACAAAGCCAGATGACAGAATAATTTTTGTTTAAAAAAAAACAGTAAACAGGGGCATTTAGGGCCATGGCAGCTTTAGGCATGAATGCCAGTGGAGGAGTGAGACGGAACTAGAGAATACAGATTGAAGGTTAATGGGGCTGAGGATGTCAGTAGTGGCATTGACCCAGAAAGAAAATTTAAGCAAAGCACATGTGCAACAGAAATTGGGCTTACACAAAATAAAAGTCGGGTATCTGGTTCAGTGATCAAAGCCATTGAGGAGAACTATACATTACTTCATACATTCAAGTTTAATGATGCACCTTTCACACTTGGGCCAATTCTCTCAAATGATCCAAAATGGGAGCCCCAACACTTTTTAAAACTATATCTTCTTGCTTTGAAACTAAGTCTTCAGTAATGTGCCCATCAAAAAACAAATTTTGACTTAAACCAGCCCAAGAGAGACTGAGCATGTTGGCCACTCCTTTCTGATCAAGTGATTTCATTTTCCACTGACACGAGGGAAAAATTTTTTTCAAACAAGCGTATAAATAGGTTTTTAATTTTAACCAAGTCTGCCCAACAGTAAAAATAAAAACTTTAGTCCCTTCCCAGCTAACATTCTTTAGCTATAGCATTCTTTCCAGGATTTCTCTTCCAAATAATGCAATCTTTGGTTTTTAAACAAAATACTAACCAATCCTACCTTAAAAAGTTCGAACAGACAAGAAAAAGTACATACAAAATGTAATGCACTCTCTACCAATGGCTTTGGAAACCAATTCAGTTTTAACCAATTCCAGTCTGTTCCTTACTAACCATCTTTTCACTACATCCCTCCAAGGCAAAAATAACAGTCTTACCACTTACACTTAGATTTGAAAATCACAGGGCATCTTGAATTGCTTTATCTGTGATTAGAGATCTATAGCACAAACTGGCAGAACTGCAATTGTACCACAACTGTTGTTTGAAAAGACTGTCCAAGTACACTGACTAGACTGAAGTGATTATAATTCTAAATATATAGTTTGATGCACTACTGTAAGACAGACCTGGAATGATCCTTGCATAGCCAAAAAACAAAAATAAACTTTACTTGCAAGGAACAACAGTTTAATGATGGGCACATCTGCTTCAAGCTGATTGGTCTCATACATCAAAAAAAGTTTGCCTTTACCTTAAACAAATAAAATCATGGACAGCAAAACAGGGAAGCCAGCTGGATATCAGTTTTCACTTCCCCAACTCTCAAGATACAAGATTTGTTCATAATATAGTTGAGCCCTCAGTCTGATTAAAATTAGGCAAAAGCCATGGATGTTCATTTGAAGTTGTCCATTGCACATTACTCCTGGCTTCTCACCTGAAGAGAGATTTTTTTTATTGCACCTTCAAGAAACTGTCCTCTGTCTCTATTCCAAGAGAAAGTCTACAGGTAGCAAAAACCCAAGTCATCAGTTGATCAACAGAGTTTTAGATAATAAAAATAAGGCGACTTGTAACTAAGGATAATAGATTGGCACAACATTGTGGGCCAAAGGGCCTGTACTGTGCTGTACTGTTCTATGTTCTAAACTTAGGGGGAAATTCTACATGGCCAGGGGGTGTAATTAAACAAGAAATGGGGCAAGTGAAAGCTAGGGCACATTGGAGTTTCTTACCTTTCCTGACATTGGCAGGCTTTAAAAATTTTCCTCAAGCTGATGAAAAAAAATGCATTGCACATTTAAGAAATTAATACATTTGTGCATTTTGGCATCTTGTTTTTGTCAAGAGGAATCCAATTGCATTTTAAAACTAGGGTCTAGGTGGAAAGCTGTTGTCTTTCCTTTTCGAAGGAAAGGAAAAGGAATCTCCTGCATTTCTCCTTGCCCATGCTGAATGAAGCAAGTCAGTGGGTAGAAAAGCCCCACCAGAGCAAGTACAAAAGCTTTCCATTATGGAGCCAGGAACAAGTCTTTGCCCTGCAAAGTCCCAGCTCTCCTGGTCTTGGAGATCATCTCACAAACAGCACAACTGCTTTGGTGCTAGTGCAGGTCAGTGGCCTCTGCATGATTAAACCTATTGTCATTTCAGCCAGATACTACCTTCCACTTGTTTCTTGGATGTGCAATTGATTTACAATGTGTAGATTAAAACAGCCCAATTACAGTTAGATCAGGTAAGCTGAAAATAAACACCCTTCTAAAGAGGCAAATCCCCTCCATAACTTAGTAACCCAGACATTTCAGTTTGAAAACAAGGTTGGCTTTATTCAAAACAACTGAATTTAAGAAAATAAGATGAAATTCTTACAATAGCCAGATTTAAATGCAAAGATGCAGACAAGCGAGCCAGTAACAATTTGTAGACAGTTCAAAGGGCGTTTCCAGTTATGGTCTTCCTGGTCTGAATCCACCACAGGTATGCAGATTAGAAGGAAAAACTCAATTGGCAGCTTTAAAGAAAAAAAAAGCAAAACAAAAAAAGTGTTTTCAATAAACCATCAGTATGTGTTGATTGATGTTGAATGGATTTTTGCATTTTCTGTAGCCAGGCAGATTGCCAAGTTTAAAACAAAAAAGATTCACCACACCACTAACTTTAAAGAAAAAGCAGACCAAACAAAAAAAAAAAGGGGGGGAAATAATCTACAGACAAAATGTCGAAACAAGCCACTAATGGAAAACAGGATGTCTCAAAATCAGTTCTGGAAGATTAATCATTATGTGCACATGAATGAGTGCGTGTGGGAGTGGAAAGAACTGAAAACAACCGAAAACAACCAGGCAGTTTCTAATGCAGCGCATGAATATTCCACTAATCTTCCAAAGCAATTTTGTCCTCTAGGTACAATAAATTACAGCTTTTAACATGACAACACGAGTATTAAGTGCTTAGAAGTAAAGACTACCAAGCTAAACATAGTCAGTACTGGCCAAAAAAAAAACAAAAATGCACCAGAAATTAGGACCTCACATGCCAGTGATGACTGTCAGCAACCTTAACTTGAATTTTTTTGCCTTGATAGATATCTATGTAATTGGTAACTACAGGCAAAGTAGTGAACATTTACAGGATTAAACTCCAAAGACACAATTTTACCTGCATCTAAAGAGTTGTGAACAACTCCCCTTCCAGTTATTTTTCCTTTAGCAAGTTCCACGAAAAAAGATCAAACCTACCACTTCCTTCTACAGTGATTTTTTAAAAAGGAAACACCTAGAAGTCAGAATCACCATCAAACATGTAAAGATTTTCCAGGGCAAGCGTTTCCTCCTCCATTTCTGAAAGTCAATGGGGTTGATAGAGTCCAACAAAATGGATTTTGTAGATTTGGATTCTTCTGTTCCAATCAAAGGTTGATACTCGCTTGCTTAAAAAGAAAAAGTTTTACACTTCAGGATGGATAGAATTAGGAACTGAGGCACACATTTTAAACTTCTAAAACGGGTTCAGTGTGAAATACCACAAGTTTGATTATAACTATTGTAGTTTTAATAAATGAACAACTACCCTTGGTAGGGAGAATCCTCAACCTCATGGTAAATTGTAATTGCCAACTTGAAAGCAATTCCCCTACACAGGATGGAGAGTTTGGAAGTACTCATACACATGAAAATTACATTATCCAGCTTATAATAAAAATGTTTACCATCTTCACGGGAAGGTGTCCTGATACAGGATGGATTTGTATCCTCTGCATCACAGACTAAAAGAAAAGAACATGTTGATAGTGATTAAACAGACTTACAAAAGGTCAAGCTCTCTTCATCCCATCTCATTTAGGGGTGTTGGTATGACCTTACAAAACTTTGAGTTTAAAGGGCGATTGGAAAGGCAGAAAATTTACATTTTTAAAAATGCATGGCGTAAAGTTACAAAAACAAAAAAAAAGTGTCAGCAGTTAAGTCAATAACAGGTGTTCCACGTGCATGAACTGTACCGTCACAGGAATAGGAGGAGGCTATTCAGCCCTTCAAACCGGTCCCACTATTCAGTGAGATCATGGCTGATCTGTGGCCCATATCCCTTAATACCATTGCCTAACAAAATTTTAAATCCAAGATCAGCAAGTTTAGCAACTGATTGTGCATCTAATGCCATGTGGCAGAGGGTTCCAAACATCTACCACCTGATGTAGAAGTGCTTCCTAACAACTCTCCTGATGATAACATGGTGTGGAGCTGGATGAACACAGCAGGCCAGGCAGCATCAGAGGAGCAGGAAAGCTGACGTTTTGGGTCTGGACCGTTCTTCAGACCTGAAACATCAGCTTTCCTGCTGTGTTCCTCCAGCTCCACAACTTGTTATCACAGACTCCAGCATCAGCAGTTCCTACTATCTGAGTGAGTTATAGCTCCCCTGATGAGTATGGCCTAAATTCTTACACTATGCCACCTTGTTCTAGAATCGTCAGCCAATAGAAATGGTATTAATAGTTACCAACTGTTTTCCTGTTAATACCCTGACAATTTTATCAGATCACTCCTTAACCTTTAAATGCTAGAGAAAGCAGGCCATAATTTGTTTAATCTCACCTCAACTTAACCCCTGAAGCCAAGGTATCATTCTCGCAAACCTACATTGTACTCCTTCCTGAGATGTGGTGCCTAAATCTGTTCACAGTATTCCAAGGTGGTGTCTAATTAGGTTTTTTTTAAAATAATAACATAACACCACTATAAATGCAGTGACAGGAGGAACGTGGAATTCATCAGAACAGGGAATACTGAATACTCTAAATTTGAAGTGGGAAGGAAAATGTTCATTTTAATGTTGCTACATAAAATTTTGGGCAGAGACATTGGACAATCAATTGCAATAATTCAAACCCTTGAACAATGTTATCAGTTAGTTAAACTATTCTGTGCACTTACTTTCAGACTGACAGCTATAAAGAGAAGCAGGTTCCTGGTTTTTGTGCTTTTGGTAAATTAGGCTGCTTATGATCACCATTAATACATATACGACATACAGAGCCAAGTAACCTAGAGAAAAATATAAGAAATTAATTCCATGACATAGTCCAGCAAGTTTATATTCAATTAAAAAGGTCTTGCAGTAATTCAATCATTGAATCAGAAGCTAAAATTGGTACAAGTCACTAGGAATTTACCCTCCACCGAAATCTCCCTCACCAAGTGCTTGTCCCAAATCAATGCTCCCAAAGTAGAGGACTAGAAAGGTCCAGAAGACTGCAGCCATGTAGAATATCACATCTCGAAGGAAGGGCCTTGATGCAACTATAAATGGATTTGCAAGGGCAACACCACCAGCAACAACAGTAGTCACAAAAATGCCAGCACCTGAAAAAAGGAAACAAAAAGGGTAGATGTGCAGAACTTCAAATTAGGTGTCCTGACCACTATAACTCAGTCCAAAAAGTAAGAACATGTTTTAGTAGCTCCAGGTGCTTTAGAGAAACTACAGTAGTACAGTAGTTCAGTAGTAACACAGTGTGGAGCTGGATGAACACAGCAGGCCAGGCAGCATCAGAGGAGCAGGAAAGTTGACGTTTCAGGTCAGGGCCCTTCTTCAGAAATGGGGGAGGGGGAAGGGAGAAGGGAGTTCAGAAATAAATAGAGAGAGGAGGCGTGGGGCTGGGGAAGGTAGTTGGGATGATGATAGGTGAGTGCAGACAGGGAGTGGTGGGGATTGGTCAGTGAGGCAGGAGGGGCGGATAGGTGGGAGAGAAGATGGACAGGTTGTGTCAGGTCAAGGAGGCGGGGATGAGAGGGAGCGTTGGACATGGGATGAGGCCAGGGGTGGGGAAATTTTAAAACCGGTGAATTCCAATGTTTAGGCCATCGGGCTGTAGGCTCCTGAGGTGGAATAGGAGGTGCTGCTCCTCCAGTTTTCAGGTGGTGTCATTGTGACACTGGAGGAGGCCCAGGATGGACATATCACCCAGGGAATGAGGGGGGAAAAAGAGTTAAAATGGTTGGCGACTGGAAGGTGTTGTCGTTTATCGCAAACAGAGTGCAGATGCTCTAAAAACAGTCTCAGAGTCTACGTTTGGTCTCACCGATGTAGGAGGCCACATCGGGAGCAGCGGATACAGTAGACCAAGTTTACAGATGTTTAGGTGAGCCCCTATCTAATATCAAAGGTTTGTTTTGTGCCTTGAATGGAAGTGAGGGGGGAGGTGTAGCACTTCCTGCGTTGCAGGGAAAGGTGCCGGGTGTGGTAGGATTAGTGGGGAGCGTGGAGTGGACGAGGGAGTCGCAGAGAGAGTGGTTCCTATGAAAGGCAGGTAGGGGAGGGGAGAGAAATATCTCTTTGGTTGTGGGGTCAGATTGTAGGTGGCGGAAGTGGCAGAGAATGACACGTTGGATGCGGAGGTTGGTGGGCTGATGAGGACAAGGGGGATTCTGTCTTTATTTTTGTTGGGAGGAGGGGATGTGAGGGCAGAAGTGCAGGAAATGCAAGAGATGCAGTTGAGGGCATTTTCGATCACTGGAGGAGGAGGGGGGATGGAGTTATGGTCCTTGAAATAGGACGACACCTGGGGATGTATGGGAGTGGAACACCCCATCTTGGGGCGGCGGAGGCGGAGGAGTTGGGAGTAGGGTATTGCATTCTTGCAGGAGGGTGGGTGAGAGGAGGTGTAGTCCAGGTAGCTGTGGGAGTCGGTGGGTTTGAAATAGATGTCAGTTGAGGTGGTCACCAGAGATGGAGATATCATCCCACGTCCAACCCTCCTTCTCATTCTCGCCTTCTTGACCTGACAGAACCTGTCCATCTTCTCTCCCACCTATCCGTCCCACCCATCCCACTGACCAATCCCCACCACTCCCTACCTGCACTCACCTATCACCATCCCACCTACCTTCCCCAGTCCCGTGCCTCCTCTTCTCTCTCTATTTATTTCCCAGCTCCCTTCCCCCTCCCCATTTCCAAGGAAGGGTCCCGACCCAATGATTTAGTCTCCAATCAATATCTATCACATTGAAGTAGTTCCTACCCCACCTCCCTGACAAACAAGTCAATCTTATTTTCTGACTAACGAAAATCTTAAATTGGGCTCAAGATGCCAATAACATTCTGCTGCTGTGCCATAATGTTTCATGCATCATGAAGAGATTCAAGAATTTCAAAAGAGCATTAAAACCATAGGCAAGGGTCATTAGACGTGAAATCATTCACTCGATGTGGCTACCACTGACTAGATCAGCATGTATTGCCCATTCCCAATTGCCCAGAGGGCAGTAAAGAGTCAAGCATATTGCTGTGAGTCACATGTAGGCCAGACCAGTTAAGGATGGCAGTGTGCCTTCCCTGGAGGGACATGAGTGAACCTCATGAGTTTTTCTGACAGTGATTACATGATCATCATTGGTCATGATGCAAAACTGCTCAGGTATGAAAACCTATTAGAACATATGATGGAATCTTCAAGTCTACAGCAAGAAATTAGAGAAGCCAGCAGCACCATTAATTGGTATTTTCACACGTAGTAGCACAGACTCAGCTTTAAACACTGCCAGTAGGAGGGTTAGATTGTAAATGTGCCATATGACACATTTACAAAATAAGGACGTCAAGTCAAGCCAATCATATTACCATGAGTCAGTTATCAACTGATGAGAAACTCACCTTTCAAGACATAATGATTCAATATTTAAAATTACAAGATTAGTTAACGTGAAAATACTTTACCAAACAAAGCTCCAATTGCCAGGTTTGCTGTCCTTGGATCAGAAAAGGCTGCTATTGCACTGAATACATCAGGAGCTCCATTACCCAGAGCAAGAAAAGTCACACCATGAATAAAATCCAATCAAGGAAAAAATACTTAGTCAAACAGAATCAATTGCAATGGATGATTCCCCCCTCCCCAGATTGTCCTTTGAATTGTGTACCTACGTTCATTTGCACGGTCATTTAGTAAAGAAATTTTGAAAAGATGCAAAAATTTAAAAAAACTTTGTTTCACACTTACAGAACAATTGCATGTTTGCACAATGCAATGGGAAAACCCAACATTTATAATGCAAAAAAACAGAAAGGAAGGTGCTTCAGAAGCTGGGAGAGATAAGGGAATCGACCATTTAAGGTGCAGTTTAAGTCCTAGATTCTTGTTAGGGAATCAAAGGATAGGTGGGAATGAGGAACTCAATATAAAACAGATCAGCAATGATCTCATTGAATGGTGAAGCAAGCTTGAAGGGCTAATGGCTTACTTGTTGTATCAAAATCCTGAAACTCTCTCCCTAATAGGGTAATGGGTTGACCTAAAGTAGACGGATTGCAATGTTGAAGGTGGCAGCTCACCACCACCCAATGACAGACAAATGCTGTTCCATCCAGGGACTCTCACATTCCACTCATGAATTCAAGAGAAACTTCTGCTCCCAATTCACATTGGATGTTCCAAAGAGGTCAGGTACTTGTACCTCTGCCACACCAAGATGAACCTTCCCAATTCTGTGTTGCAATCTATACGATAGGCCAACACCAACAAAAATGTCATTGCCACGAAGCATTCAAAAACCATCTGTTGTTCCATTCGCTTTCCTCAATTTATTATGAAGGAACTTTAAAATAAACAATTCCAGATATTATTTGATGCTTAGTTTAAATGAGGAGAAGTAGTTGTTAAAAACTTTATATAAAAGAAACTAAAGCTACAGTAATTAAACTAAAAATGGCCCAGAATAGAATGAAGCTTTCACTGGTCAAAAGTAAGAGATCACCTCTATGGACTAATAGAAGCAAATATCAGATAATGGTGGCAAGTATGATGTAAAGCGGACAACGATAATGGCAATGATGCAGATGGAAAATAAAATAGTAAACAAGATGCACGTTCCGGAGCTGAACGCAAGGTCAGCAAGACAGACTGTCATCATGGTCAAGCAATCATGGGAGCCCCACAAAAAACAACTGTAATGCCGTTTGATACTGCACAAACAAGCATTTTGACTTATTCCTTGTTATTGTGGATCTGCAGCAAAATTCCAACATAGCCACAGCTTAAATGTCAAGTAATTTTTTTAAAAAAAAGAAAATTGGGTTGTACTGGCACACAGGAAACAATCCAATTACATTTTTCACTTCAGTAAAGAGACTAAAAACAAAATCTACACACAATCTTGATGCTCTGCATATACCAGCTATGCAGCAACATCTAGGATAAACCAATTTCTAAATAATCATATTGGATGCAAGTTAGCATTATAGACCTTGATTACAGAGCACTGATGTTTGTATATGCTGCTCAACAGCAGTGTTCAGACATAATAACTATTCTTGAAGATGTGATAAAGAGAGATAAAAATTTTCTCCGACAGTGATACAGGAGCTCAAGAATACATTAATCCAGAGCTCAAACTCAGCAGTTACTTTAACATCAAGACTAAACTTGTGAATATATTGAATTATGCAAGTTGCATTAAAATAGGTTAACAGTACATTACTGAAAGGTAAGGGAACATGAAGCCTATTAGCAGAGAGCTGCTTCAAATCTAAGTCAGAAATAAACTAGCAGATAGAGTACAAGGACAGATACAGCTTAACTCTAAATGGCCTTGTGCACACAATGTGTTTTTCAATATAGCCAAAGCGAACGGGCTTTGCAAGATTATGTCTTACTAAAGCACAGTTAGTTGCTATCCTGAACAATAGGAAATATTAAGTTACTTCATCTTTACAGAGCCACAGTTCCAAAGTGCAAGTACAACTTAGATTGAGAATAATTTGCTCATTTTGTAGAATTAAAGTTTGCCAAATATGACACACTTGAACATAGGATGACAGTGTTAATAAAACAGCAGTGTTCGAAGTTTGGAAGTTACTGTTTAGTTAAATTAGTGAATGTATCCAAGTACTTACAGACGACAGAAGAAAGGATACTGCCACATTATGTGACAACTTTAAACTTGCAGCAATGGCCGCCAGATTAGGACAAAAACTAAATTTAAACAAACATTTAGTCAACAGCTGTAATATGTTCAGAGAAAGTATTCTAACATCAGTAGTTCACATAATATTTCATTCATATTCAAATTTTCCAAATTAATAACCATATACAGTATCAATTCAAGTTCACTGCCATCTGAAAAATAGATTGAGCGCTGGAGAAAATCTTGAATGAGGTAGACTATAGGAATTGCATGACTTCTTCCAACTGTTTAAATATTTTTAGGTGTTATTTTTCATTGCAAAGATTTAAAATGAGGGTATGGAAGAGGGGCAGGTGATTGTACTGATCAAAGTTCAAGAGCCTTCTATTGGGATTGCTAGAAGTGCAGTCCTTCACAAGTTTGACTGACATACTCAACATTTAAAAAAACAGAAGGGCAAAAAATGGTTTCCGTGGAAAATAGAAACACCAGACACCGTGTAGAGAGTAGTAGGAACATAATGTGCTGTCTCTGTAATACACCAAATGAGGAAGAGATAATATTTGAAGGATACAGCAAGTGTTCATGTTTGTTATAGAGATCATTGTAGGATAGAAATCTCTGCTGCAATTTAGTACAATGCAGCACAAGAACTTACTGATCAACACTTTCTAACTCCACCCAGATCCAGGGTGGCAGACTAAACATTCACACTCAAGGCAGTGACATTCACCAACCTCTGAACACTGCCTTACATAACTAATCACCATGAAAAGAACTCTGGAAATGATGTTTTTATTATGAACATGTGCAAGGCTGAAATGCTGTAGCACCAAGATCCACAATGTTAGATCTTTTAACCATTCTGCAAATCAAATGGCAAATTAATCTTTCATTGTTTTGAAAACCCCAGTGACAAGAGCAAAGACTTTCTGTTAAGTGTTACAATTGAGACACAAAAGCAGAAATATACTTACAATAATTCGGCTGTTGTCCCAAGAAACACAAATAGATAGATCAACCAAATAGCCTGTAAAAGCAACACATTTTTGGTCCATTGGTACAATACTTCAATTTAGTGATTTTCTCCAATGAATTGTGTTCACCATTTAAAATCCTACAATCTGACAAGTCAGCTTTCTAGAAATCTAAATCCGTGCCCTAAACAAGTAATTTAATTCCACATCTTCCTTGCATTTTTTCTCCCACATTATTATCCCATCTCTCACTTTATATTACATCCATGAATTAGTTTGAACACTTGATTGATTCCAGGGCTTTGAAAAAAGGTGTTATCTTTTGAAGAAAATGTCAGAGCTGTATCTAGGAGTTGATAAGAATGAAAGATAATCTAATTGGAACAAGATCCTGAGCTACTGGACAGAGTAGATGCTGAAGGGACATTTCCTCTTCTGGAAGAGTTGAGAACATTTTGAAAATTCACAAGAAAGTGTCACCCATTGAAAGATAGAAACAAGGAGAATCAAGGATCAAGTATCTTTGCAGTTCTTCTCCAGATTAGAGGGGAGTAGGCTCATTATTATTCTTTTTTAAAACAGCCACAGGTAGGTAGATTCTGGTCTGAAAAAAGGAATCAAAAAGGCTGTTGAGGGTACATCAGAGGATGGAGTTGTACTGACTAACAAAACAGCCTTGAGGGATGAAATTCGTTTGGAACATTTCTTTCAATGTAGGCTCAAGAAAACCACAAAGGCATTTCTGACCATGATATATTGGGGTAAACTGGACAGAAAGAAAGAAAAAAAAACAATAGATTTTGAGAAAGTCTACATACAGTCCACTCTAGATTAGTAGCAAACACCCTTTACAAAAAGAGATCCTTAAAATGATGTTGAATTGTGCCAACTTATCTACAGAATATTTAATGGTGGCAGAGGAAAGTCTTGTAATGTGAAGTGGCATTTGCAAAAAAAACTGGTGCATTTATTCAATTTTAACAAATCAATCTAATTTCCTCTAACTTATGATTTTCAATCTAAAACTCCTATTTGCATCTAATCCAGTCAATCAGATTCCATTCTGACCTGTTATATTGTTCAAGGCTCATGCAGATAAATCTGATAATATTGTATACTGTATGTTTGTGAAAATAGTGAATCAGAATCTGGTGGTACAATACAAAGAACCCTTGCACACCAGAGAAAGCTATTGTTAACACATTACCTCTCATGTTTTATCTGATCCCAAATCACATCATTCTTCAAAATTACATGGCTGTTTCCGATCTAACCAAAATGGTAGCAATAACTACATTGTTGAACAATGTGCTACTGGTTCTCAGAAACAGGGCAAGATGACAACAGGATTGTAACTCAAGTTGCCAAAAAAAAAACACTAAGACTTTAATCTAAAATTCATTTTTGAATTCAAAGGCCAATGTACTAGACATCAGCAACTAAGCATCAGGCTGTAAATTACTAAATTTAGTTTGAACATCCGGAAACTGTCAGAACCACATGACTTAAAATAGTCATTAAGAGTTCAGCTGGTTTTCAGTTGCATTTTGCCATAAACACATATGGCTCTTATGTAAAAAGGCAAGAACTAGCATTCCTTTTTCTAGCTTTAAAATTTAGCATGAAGATAGATGCAGATTGTTTTTTTAAATACATGGTTTAAAACTTACACACAACAAAATGGCCAATGGTAGCAGATTGTGGTGAAACCCACAGACAGCCCCCTGGAGGTAGTCAATAAAGCCGCTATCCAGTTTGCAGTCTTCTGTTGTTTTCACAAATGAACACCACTGGGACCCATTCAACTGCACCACACTGTGACACTAGGAAGTAAGAGAAAGTAAAGAATTTCTTGGTTCACAGATGTTCAGTTTACAATATAAAGAAACCCATTCCAGTATTTGTTTTCTCCACAGTAATCTTTCACATCTCTTGACTACAATTACTGTTAATAAGGCAATTAGATATTAGTCTTAAATGTTAATGGCCAAGGGAAAAAAAAGTGTGTTTCAGTCAGAATTTTTGCAATTTATCAAAAGATCAATGCCAAAAAGGTAGTTTAAAATGTTGCTGAAAAATCTCAGCAGGACTGGCAGCAACTGTGGAGAGAAAGTAGAGTTAAATGTTTTGGGTTCGTTGACCCCTGGATCCAAAACTCCACAAGGTTAGCAGGATCTGTGAAGAGAAAGCAGAATTGGAATTTATGCAGCAACTTCTATCTATGTTTCAGTCTTCCAGTATCTGCAGTTTTGTTTTAAGAAATTGTTGCTGGTGTGTTTCGGCCACTACAGGAGAAGTCACTACTGATTCAGACTGTACAACTTCTGGAAAATAGCCAATTAACATTGATCAACATATTTAAAGAGTCTCAGACCTTCAAATACAAACAAACATTCTAAAACAAGACTTAAAACTAGAGATAGAAGCAGAGTAATGACAATTTACAGCTTTAAGAGTTCTGCCAGGAGCAATCACTAGTCACTTCCAGTTTAAACAGCACACCTATCAGTTGCTTTAGGTACTTGACTTTTGCAATGTTCTCCATCACTTGAACTGTCTCCAGTTTCTACATCTAACTCCACCATGGTTGGTCACTGCTTCAGCAAGTAGAAATGGAACTGTTCTCATATTGAATGAAGTGCAATAATGCTTTTCTAATTATTATCAGGTATCCCGCCCGCTTTTGCAGTCAATTTGGAAAAGATCTTTGCTCAAATCCTGTTCAGTCTCCCCTCCCATAACTCACTTTCCAGTTTATGGCTCAGCATCATTATCTGCACTTGCCCTGAAGTGTACATTATCTTTGCTTCCAATTTCCACCTTCATGGCATAACTGACTGTGTCTTCATTATAGAAACCAAAAGAACTGTGGATGCTATAAATCAGGAACAAAAACAAAGTTGCTGGAAAAGCTCAGCAGGTCTGGCAGCATCTGTGAAGGAGAAAACAGAGTTAACATGTTGGGTCTGGTGACCCTTCCTCAGAACTGTCTTCATTATCTTCATTTCTGGGGATTGGCCAAGCAACCAATATTCAATAGAAGCCTACTGCTTCGCTCAGCTTCCTCCATTGCTCTCTTCACCCCTTATCTTATGTTGGGAACTTCATCCATTTTTGACAATACTTATCATACTAGTGCTTCTGATCAATCACCCTTTGGAGGACCGCGTTTCCTGGACTTCTGATCTTCTCTGCTCAGATGAATAACAGGGTTCTCCTCATCCTCGTTTCCAACCCACAATCCTTTATGTAACAGCTCATCCTGAACCATTTCCACCACCTCCAAATGGATTTCTCATTTCAGCATTCCGAAGAAACTGTTCCTCCACGAGTATAGCACCTTTCCATTCAACTGCAGAAAGTGCATCACGTGTAATCTCACTTTTTGTCATCCCCAACACTAAGTTAATCATGCTTTCACCTAGAAACAGAATGCAGATTATCTGAGTGGCGATAGATTGAGAAAATGGGGAGGTACAACAAGACTGTGTCCTTTTACACCATTCGCTGAAAGCAAGCATACAGGTGCAGCAGGCAAAGATGGCAGCAAATGGTACGTTGGCCTTTGTAGCGAAAGGATTTGAAGTATGGGAAAGGGATGCCGTGCTGCAATTGTACCGGGCGTTAGTGACACCATATTTGGAGTATCATGCAGAGTTTTGATCTCCTTACCTGATAATGGATGTTCAGCTTAAGGAGGTAGTGCAACAATGGTTTACCAGATAGAGTCATGGGAATAGCAGGGCTGACAGATTAAAAAAAGAGAAACTAGATTGCTTAAGGTTATATTTACTGAAGTTTGGCAGGGGCAGGGGTGAAAGTGTCTGGCTGAAGAGAGATTCAAAAACCTACAAAATTCTAACAGACCAAGCAAAATAAACACGGGAAGGATATTCCCGATGATAATGGAGTCCAGAACCAACAGGTCACTGACTAAAGAAATGGGGTAGGCCATTTTAGAACATATGGGGAGACATTTCTTCACCCAGGTAAATGAGGAAGCTGTTAAAAGCCAAAACAATGTATGTTCAAAAGCCAAAACAAAGAATGTTCAAAAGTTAAAAATAGCTAATAAAAAAAAACAAAGAATTTTGGGGAGAAAGTGAGAACAGGATACAGAGTTGGACAATCAGTCATGATCATGAAATAGCAGAACCTGATGGCTTACTCCTGCTTTATATCCTTCATTGCCCAAGCTGGTTATTTTGATGTTTCACTTTGGTCTGATGCAGAGATCCTGCTGTTGGCCTCTTACACTGTGGCAATAACTAAAATGCAAACTTGAGGAACAGCACTCCATTTTCAGTGATGCACTTTACAAACTGCTAAACTCACTAACTTCTGTTCAGAGATAACACAGCATGGAGCTGGAAGAACACAACAGGCCAGGCAGCAGAGGAGCAGGGAAGTTGACCCTTAGGGTCCTGACTTGAAACATCAACTTTCCTGCTCCCCTGATGCTGCCTGGCCTGCTGTGTTCTTCCAGCTCCAGCATCTGCAGTTCCCGCTATCTCCAATTTCTGTTTAGAGGTTCTTTTGCTCTAGTTTTGGTTTGGACAGTAGTGGTTCATCATTCTACCATTCACACATCATATTTGGTTTCCTTTCTTGTCTCAATACCGCTCCCTTAGCTAGCAAATCGTCATGTAATCTCACATCTTCTATCCTATCACTTTTGCTTTTTCTTCACACTTTCCCACCCTTTCCACTTGAAATTTCTAACTCTTGTTGGCTGAAAAAGGGACAGTGAGAAGTTAACTTTTTCCTCAGCTACTGCCCAATCTGCTAGTACTGCCTGTATTTTCTACTCAGATTTCAATTTACATAACATGCATCATCCCTGTTTGTTAAAATTTAACTGTATCAATTACAGGAGAGAGTGTTGTTTAAAAGATTCATCCCTGAAAAAAAGGCAGTAAAGGCATCTGGAGACAAGGTCATTAAATTAATACCACCCTTAAAATTATATTTAAAAGACTGAGTACTTGCAGTGTTCTATTAGGGTTGGAGGTGTTTACCCCAAACCTTATAGTCCTAGCTCAGTAACAACTCTCATCCAAGAATGTACATTTTGGTTCACATTCCACTCCAAAAAGGAATCTGTACATAATCTAGGTAATACAGAGTGGTGTGCATGTGTCCATGTGTGGCATATTCTATTGAAAATGCCATCTTGGAAAGAAATGGAGCTATAATTATGTTATTCCTGCAAGACCTATGTTGCGTCAGGAGCTGAATATGCTAATATGCCAATATGCCAAGGACCAGCTTGAAACCACCCTAACAACTGCTACATGCTGACTATTTATAGCCACACTTCCTGCTTTACAGTAGTGGCCATATATTTCAGTTACTGAAATACTTTGGATCATAGAGTCCATACAGTGTGGAAAGGGGCCATGTGGCCTATCGAGCCTCAACCAACCCAGATCCATCCACCCCCAGCCCGTGTGGATTTTTTTTTCGAAACCATAGCTAACCCACTTAACTTGCATGTCCCTGAACACTAGAGGGCTATTTAGAACATAGAACATAGAACATTACAGCGCAGTACAGGCCCTTCGGCCCTCGATGTTGCGCCGACCTGTGAAACCAATCTGAAGCCCATCTAACCTAAACTATTCCATTATCATCCATATGTTTATCCAATGACCATTTAAATGCCCTTAAAGTGGGCGAGTCTACTATTTTTGTCTTCAGGGCATTCCACGCCCTTACTACTCTCCGAGTAAAGAACCTACCTCTGACATCTGTCCTATATCTATCACCCCTCAATTTAAAGCTATGTCCCCTCGTGCTAGCCATCACCATCCGAGGAAAAAGGCTCCCACTGTCCACCCTATCTAATCCTCTGATCATCTCATTTAGCATATCCTATCCTGCCTGTCCACACACACACACACACCACTGAAGCCACTATGCCATCCTAAAAACTTCAGGTTATTCTCAAGTTACAAAAAGCTGTCTAACTGAAACATCTTTAGTGCAGAGCTCAGCAATCAGGGGGCTCAAAAATATTGCTACCCTCTAATGATGGGGATGGGTGAGCCAACAGAAGATCAGAGGTTGCAAGTGGTTCAACTGCAGTATTCCTACCCAAACATGTTTGAAAATCAGTTAAATTAGAACAATTATTCATTTGTTTCAGTGCTTACTAAATACATGTGAACTAATCATATTTCCAATTTACATAGAATACATCTGAAGAACAGTTTATCATATTGTGACATACAGAACTTTTGATTAAGCTGGAACAGAAGTTAAACACATGGAAGATAGGAAACAAAAAACTCACTGAATTTTAAAATACCCTGATGACCAGCATCTAAAAATAGTGCAGGTTTATTTTCACTAATCCATTTACAGTGGCCTATTTAATAAAAACAAAAAAGGTACTGAACCTTTTAACCAGATACTGGAGTCAGAATAACAGTGTGGAGCTGGAGGAACACAGCAGGCCAGGCAGCATCAGAGAAGCAGGAAAGTTGACGTTTCAAGTTGGGACCCTTCTCCTGCTTCTCTGTTGCTGCCTAGCCTGCTGTGTTCCTCCAGCTCCACACTGTGTTATCAATTTCAGGAATTATGTCATTACTGCAAAAGTTCTGAAGAGCCGACAATCTTACAACATCAATACAGTGGATTGGCTGAGAGATGAAAAGTTGTGTTCTCTGCACGAAGTCAGAAACTGTCATCATTTCTTCCAATAATGCTCTTATGAGACAACGTGTACATGCCAAGCCAATGATCTATTTATGAGGGATGGGCAGACCGAAAGGGTAGGATTTTCGGGGGGTGGGGGGGAGAAAGAGGAGAAGAGATGAGTGGAAAAGGCAGAGGAATACTTTTTGGGAAAAAAAAATACCAGCAATGCTTGGCCAAGATTGGAACAAGGAATCAATAGTCTCTCTGAACTTGGCAAAGAGTATGAACTGCACCAACCACAACGGAAATCCTGTACAACTTGAATTAGGTTCACTTCAGCAGCAATTTTAGCAAAATCCTGATTAGAAGCGTACACATATCAAAAATACCCCACTTCTGGGGTAGTTACAGAAAACTTAAGCACAAAAAGCTTTTTTCTGTATGCTCAATCAAAAAAAAGTTAACGTTTCATTCAATATGTAGCTTTACATTCTATACACAATTATATTGTTAACAAAGTACCTCCACAGTAGTACTGCCCCCTCCTACAAGCAGGAGATTAAGTGTACTTCCATTGCTGTTAAGAATGCCATTCTTGGAAGAGCCAGGTTCACTTTTTCTTACAGCAGTTCCAACATGATACGATTCAACCGTCGTCTGCGGCGCAGCTACAATACACATGATAGTCCAGAACAAGAGAGAGCGACAGCCCACGGCCGCATTGCCGGCTGTCATCACTACAGCCCGATATCTGGAGAAGGGTTAAAATAATTCGAACTCAAGTCGGGAACAAGGTCAGAAAATACAATCCCGGCTTCCACTCTCTCGCTCAAATCTCAGGTGAGCGCACCAGGAAGTGTACACGCTGTAAAGAGTCCAGGGGAAATCCACTTTACGAGATTACTCTAGAAATAAGCTTATACCCATTTGAAAAATCAGAACTTCCCTCTATTTTTAATGCACTTGCAAAACATTTAAATATAAGCGTCCTCCTTCTGAAAAACGCCTACGCGATCTGTCAGCTAAACAGACGTCTGCCTCCCAGAAAACCGACCGCCTATCTGCTACCAGCTCAGCTCCAAACTACATCATTGTTCCTGCTTCCTCCCCCTATTTAAAGACGCCGTGCATCAATGGTCATACCCAACCAGCGGCCCGGGAAAGACCCGGTTCAGTCTCTCCTGTCGATGTACGTAGCCGCGTTAAACATGGAAAAACGTATACATTACATTTAAGAGATAGTAGGAACTGCA